TTATTTTGTCTAAGAGCTAAATATTACTTTCCTTATAAAAACCTTAGCATTAAAAACGATTCACCTCTTATTTTTACTAAGCCCCCCCTGGACCAGTGAAATTGATTGATTTCAGGAGGTTTTCAGGTCCCACTGAGCCCCCCCTGGAAAGAAAAAAATGTAAGCAAAAAAATGTAATCCCCCCCTGGACAAATTCCTGAATACGCCCCTGCTGCCAGCTAATAATGGTCAAGTCTTGTGAGCCACAAAGCTAACTTTTTCTTCGAAAAAATGAACTTTTTGTAGTTTTTAAATTTATAGGCCTGCACTGCCCTAATACATTACGCAAATTTTGTGAAGTAAAAACTGCAAAACTACACATGATTGGTTAAGACTCCATGTAGTCTCTGGGTAGTAAAATTTGAGATCTACTTCATATCCGCTTTACTGAACATCTCAACTGCATAAACATTTATTACCACTAAAGTTTCAGTAGAAGTAAATATTTCCATTTACTGTTATAGCGCCAATATAAGGATTTATCTCTAATTGGATAAATGAGCGAGATAGAAAGTAGATGTTACCGCCATGCAATTTCTATTGGTTCAGAATAGACACCAAACACATGGCTGAACCCTGATTGGATCAGGCGCTAATGGACTCGGCAAACTAGAGTGTTACTTCAATCCTGAAGTTACTATTGTTTCCCTAAAAAGGCAAATGAATTTATTACAACTTTTTAGAATAATTACTGTAATTTTTAACTTCAATCCTGAAGTTACTATTGTTTCCCTAAAAAGACAAATGCATTTATTACAGATTTTTTGAATAATTACTGTAATTTTTTAACTTCAATCTTGAAATTACTGTTGTTTCATTAAAAAGACAAATGAATTTATTACAGATTTTTAGAACAATTACTGTATTTTTTTACTTCAATCCTGAAGACACTATTGTTTCTCTAAAAAGACAGATTTTTAGAATAATTACTGTATTTTTTTTAAGCTTCTAATATTCAGATTTCTATAGATTTTTAAGGGGTTTTATTTAGGCACTTTTTAGAAAAAAAGTTTACTTGGTTTTGTTCAATTAAGCATGGAAGGAAACAGTCAAAAATTCATATTTCCAGATTGAACTAGTTCATTGGCCCAATTAAGTAGAGGGGAAGTATCGTTGGTCCAATAAACGACACTGCAAAATGTATTTAAATGTCGTCTTTGCTGGAGCGCACAGGAATAGATGACAATTAAATATCCAGATATTTTAGCATTGTGAAGTGCGAAACTTATGCATGGAATAGCGACTGTTTTAACTGCACAAACTTCAAAGTTGAGATTTGAACACTTCAATATCGGATGTCCATCTCTGGCAGAGAACTCGCAAATGAAAACTAACAGTTTATGGTAACAAAACAAAAACGTATACCCTTGCATACTAGATCAGACAAACTTTTTAAGGGTACCGTTGTGAATCGGAAATTGTTTTCTTTGTATAGAGGGTCCATCAGGTTTATCAGATAATATTACGTTTTTTAAGGTTTAAAGAATAAAATCTTGAGAGTGTCCCTAAAAAAGGTCAACGCCATTGTTTTCAACCATTTTTCGTTTTTGGGACATCAAAACAATCAGAATAAAATATACAATCTAATGGTGCAAACAAAAACCTTGTAAAATGAAGAAAAAATTGTTTGTTTCCAAATAACATCAAAGGATTACCAACACTAAAATGTAAATGTAATTTTCTAGAACCCGACAAAATTAAGCAAATTGTGAGTTAGTTTAAAATCTTGTATGATTTCAATCATAACTTCTGTTTCTATAAAGTTATTGAGTAAACAAAAATGTTTTAAATTTCTAACACGTGACCGGATAAAGAATCTAAATATTCTTAACGTCTGAAAAACGAAGAACTGAGGCTCTGTATGCAGTATCAACATCCAACAACTTTATAGACACTCGGTTTTATCTCCAGATTGATTACACAGTAGGGTTAAGGTTAGGAAAAGAAAATCTTGATATCTCTGTTATGTGAGAAAACAGTTTGCCTCGTTTACAGTTTTTAGTGAAGAGGTTACTTAGCTACCGCACCGCCGGCAAATCTTCATGAATCTTTAACTTTGGGATTCAAGATTTGAACCGGAGGTAGATAATTCAGCCACCTGACTCAAATTCATTAGATTCTGACCCAGAAGGAATAAAAAATATTTAATTAAATATTTAACCTGTAAATCTGCCAGTTTATCGTGGGAGTAGAAAAGTCCCTCGAATTCAATTTTGTTTAAAATATCTAATATTTCGACAGATTCTGGAAGAGGACTACCTTGCAGGGAAACCATGCACTACAAAAAACAACTTTTTTAACAGTGTGTACAAAAAAATAATACTACATTTTTTATGAAAATATCTAAACAAATATCTAATCTCCATATCTTTGCAACCCAATGTCGTAGACCTTAGATATTTCAAGCTATGAATTCTGTTAGATGAAAGAATTTAATTTTGAAATATCAAATTTTTACACCATCAAATGGAAAAAGTATAGGTATTTGAAAATCAGAGTTTGTTACAAAGATGCAATTCCTTTGTCTCACAAACTCTTAATTACGAATGAAATGAATATGAAATGAAATAAGCTATTTTTGATGATATTTACAATTAAATTTAAAACCACTTTCAAAATTTTATGTTTCAACAATTATTATATTAGATAGATAGATAGATAGATAGATAGATAGATAGATAGATAGATAGATAGAAAGATAGATAGATAGATAGATAGATAGATAGATAGATATATATATAGATAGATAGAAAGATAGATTGATAGATAGATGTATACCTCTTGAACCAGATCTCTAGCATCTGTGCAGAGTGGAGGTGGTGGACAACGAAAGCATTGAACTAGTTGAATAGTGTTATGTACTCTCATTAATCGTCTAAACATTGGATCCTTAAACAGAACTAGGAGACTATTCAATCCCACAGTAGTCTTTTCACTGCTTTGGAGACTAGTCTTTACTTCAGTAGTCTTTTCCTCGTCATTTTGGATACTACTTAACTCTTCTGTAGTCATCACGTCATTATTATGACTATTTTGTTGACCAGGATCTGGGTTTGCATCCGTATGTTGAATATCAGGTTCAACCTTGTCTTTTCTCCCTGGAGAGGAGAGAAGGGCGGAGAACGGAGCAAGATTACTAGATATCCGTCCTACACATTTACTCATCTCCTCAACCTCTGAAAAATGCAAATTCTTACTAAGGAGACTCTAAGGAGAATTTAATTTACTTTCTGTGAAAAGAAGTGCATAATATTGAAGAGAAACTGGGGGTTGGATTAGGTTGTTGTGGGTCTAGATTCTTCAAAACATCAAACAGATTCATTTACCCCCCCCCCCNTTCAAAAATTGTTTTTCTTTGAATAAATTTCATTATAGTGTATCATAAAACATGTATAAGAATTGTTTTCATCTGCAATTTTTTTTTCTAATCGATTGAAATCTTTTGTAGTCTCAAGTGTTATTTCTTTTAATCTCCTCGTTTAATGTTTACTCCCATAAAATATAATAAATGGAATACAGGGAATACATGGAAAACAGAGAATACAGAGAATACAGGAAACACAGAATATTCAGAATATACAGAGAATACATGGAATACAGGGAATACATGAAAAACAGAGAATACAGGGAATACAGGGAACACAGAATATACAGGGAATACAGGGAATACATGAAATACAGATAATAAAAAGAATACAGGGAATAAAGTTAATACAGGGAATACTGGGAATGCATGGAATACAAGGTATACAGAGAATACAGGGAATACATGGAACACAGAGAACACAGGGAATACAGTGAATACATGGAATACAGGGTTTACAGAGAATACAGGGAAAAAAGAGAACACAAGGAATACGGGAAATACAGAGAATACAGAGAAAACAGGAAATACAGAGAATAAAGAAAATACAGAAAATACAGAAAATACAGAAAATACAGAAAAAACAGGGATTACATGGAAAACAGGCAATACAGAAATACAGGAACACACAGAGAATACGGGGAATTCAGGGAATACAGGGAATATAGGAATACAGGGAATACAGGGAATACAGGGAATACAGGGAATATAGGTAATTCAAGAATACAGGGAATTCAGGAATACAGGGAATTCATGAATACAGGGAATACAGGATATACAGTAAATACAAAAATTACAGGGAATACAAGAAATACATGGAAAAAGGGGAATACAGAAAATACTCCTTGTATTCCTTTTATTCCCTATATGCCATGTATTCTCTGTATTCCCTGTATTCCCTGTATTACCTGTATTACCTGTATAATGGTATCTCCTGTAGTAACATGTTATCTCCTGTACTATTATGTTATACCCTTTATTATCATGTTATCTCCTGTTCTAACATATTATCTCCTGCGGTATAATGTTATCTCCCGTAGTTTCATGTTAATCCTGTAGTATCGTTTAATCTCCTGTAGTATTATTTAATCTCCTTTGGTATCATATTATTTCCTTTATATCATGTTATTTTCTGTACTATCATTTAATCTCCTGTACTATTATATTATCTCCTGTAGTATAATGTTAAATCCTGTACTATCATTTTATCTCATGTACAATCATGTAATATGCTGTACTATCATGTCATTTTTTGTAGTTTCATGTTATTTACTGTAGTATCATTTTATCTCCTGGACTATTATGTTATCTCCTGTAATTTTATGTTATCTACTGTACTATTATGTTATCTCCTGTAGTTTCATGTTATCTCCAGTAGTTTCATTTTATTTCCTGTAGTATTATTTTATTTTCTGTAGTATCATGTTATCTCCTGTACTATCATTTAATATCCTATACTATCATGTTATCTTTTGTAATTTTGTGTTATTTCCTGTAGTATCATTTTATCTCCTGGACTTTTATGTTATCTCCTGTAGTATTATGTTATCTCCTGTACTATCATCTTATCTCCTGTACTATCATCGTATCTCCTGAACTATCATGTTATCTTCTGTAGTATCATGTTATCTCCTGTAGTTTCATGTTAATCCTGTAGTGTCATGTTATGTCCAGTACTATTATGATATCTCCTGGACTGCAATGTTATCTCCTGCACTGTCATGTTATATCCTGTACTGTCATGTTAACAATGCAACAAAATCATTGTGTTGATGCGTACTTTTTGTGAATTTAAATGATATAACAACGATAACTTTGCATCTTGCATTTGATAGAGATTAAAATTGAAAAAATTAAAGTGACTTGAAACAAATTCTGAAGGGAAAATTTTAAAAAGATGCCTTTAAGTTATTTAGTATTTTTGAAAGGGAATTAAAAGATATTAGCTTGCAATTTTATATAGTCTAATGGCCACATACTGCAATCAATTAATTTATAATACAAATCAGATTGAAAAATGATTTTGCTTTTATTGGAGGAGGGGGGGGGGGTACATTAAAGATTTTTAAATTATAAACACATAGCATTGTAATTTAAAGGTTGCAAGCTCCCAAGCAAAAATCTGTGAGAACTTTGCCTAGNTCCCTGTATTCCCTGTATTCCCTGTATTCCTTGTATTCCCTGTATTTCCTGTATTCTCTGTATTCCCTGTAATCCCTTTATTCCCTGTATTTCCTGTAGTCTCTGTATTCCCTGTCTTCCTTGTTATTTCTGTAAATCCTGTCTCCTGCAATTTCCATATTTTTCTCTTTATATCACAAAAATGATTAAGACAAACACCCCCACACTTTATTATGAAGTGCTGAATACGCCCCTTCTGCTTACGTGACATTTTTTACCCACGTATGTTAAGCACCGCTTCTTAGGTGCGTGTGAGTGATTTCTCATACACACGCACCTAAGAACCGTCATCTTAGCTGCGTGTGTATGAGAGAGTGAGTAATTTAAAGGTAGCGTTTAAAGGTAGTGCAGAGAATACGGTTAAGAACCAATTTTTTTGAGCAAATGTATAGGCTAAGAGCCAAAGACATAAACAGATTCATTTACCCCCCCCCCATATTTCCTTTACATCTCACATGAAAATTATACAAACGTTTTCCAGAATGTTAACAGACTTCTATTCAATTAAAAATATTCTGAGAAGTTTAAAATCTTCTGTTCTATTTAATAAGTCCGTGTTAGTCTCATATTAGTTGCTGAGATATGCTGATACAAAGTTTAAGTATGCTCCAGGAACCCTGGAGAATACAGCTTGGTTGGAGAACCGCCAACTTCTCCGGAGTAAAGATTAAATACAAACCTAGAACTGTTTTCAGAGAATGAGTTGCTCTCAAGGCAGGTTTATCCCTTACAACCAGCTCTTCAAGCTTCTCCTCCTTTATCTTAATATAAAAATCTTTCATTCACATGTTAAAGGAACTCACGACGTAATTTTAAATATCTCTTTTAACAACGGGAAAGTATCTTTGACTCTGCTAGATACACATATTGCACAAATACGAAAATCACTTTTATAAAGAACCCAGCTTCGCCTGGAGTTTTCCTTTTTAGAATTTTTAAACAAAGCAAAAAACTCAAAGAATCCTAAAGAATTTGTACACACACTGCATATTCAAGTTTACCTAACTTACATTGCCGGTCTGTCCCTTTAACATTATATTTTTGCTGACTAGTCAGGTTTTATATTAAATATGAACAACATGGACGTCCGGGGATAAAATTGTCGACCATTTTGGACAATAAAAACATTACTTTACAGATTGAAATAGAGTATATTCTACTGTATTGAAGGAGCTGTAGACTGTAGAGGTACTTACAACTACAAGTGTTTCGCTACTTAGCGATTTCCCTAAAGACCTAATATATATACCGTGTGTTATTTCTCAGGATTGGATCGTAAGACTCCCTTCTCTCAACGCTCTTCATAATAAAAAGGAAGATAGTAAGGTTCCGAACGTTTATTTCTCTGAGCCTTCAATCTAAA